TTTTAACGATTTAAAAATCGTTAATGCAATTCCTATCCAAGACGATATCGTCTGCTCTTGATGTGGCTCTTTTCAATGTGGTATTTAAAAGAACCAGCACGCTCATATTCTTTACCACAGCAGGTAAGTTTTCCCGGCCATTCTTTGATTACATAATGGCGGTATGTGTCACATTTGAGTTTTGGTTCGTCGCCAAATTTGTGTCGTTTCCTTTGAGTGGGTTTGATCAAAAATTCCATTCTTTTCAAAAACTCCGCGACTTCATGATCATCTCCCGTATCCCTGTAAAAATCGAGAATACCAAGTCAGTTAAAGAGTATGTTTCTTAATTTACTGAACAATCTCTTATGATGGCTTTTTGTTGTTCTACATGAAACCCACGAAAAACAGTTGGTTTCAAGTCATCATCATCATTTGGCTGCAGCGCAGGCGACCAGAGTGGTTTTCGTAATCAAATTAGGTCCAGGAATGTATTTTGATCCGTTTCCAAGCTGATGGACGGGTKATTGGCCCTGGCCATCAGTTCTTACCGGAATGTTTTCTATGACCGTTCGGAAAGGTTTCCTCATCCGCTCTTTAGCMGTTGGGAGGTTAGGAAAAACACTCCTCTTCCGCGCCATCGGGGTAGACTACTCCGAGGTTGTAAACATATAACTCGTAACCCTGGAAAGGGAGGCTAGGGTGTACTAATGCTTACCCAAGGCACACACCCAGGCTACTGGAGGGAAGGAGACGCCCTACTTCTCCATTCTAGACTGGCTCCAAGCAAAGTCTAGCCACTGCCCACATGTAAGTGACGGAATCCAAAACTAAACTTTTGACCTTCCCCCATCACCCCCCTCCCCCTCCCCCCAGACACACACACAGTCTCAGACTATCAAAGTTTACAGAAAAAGTATGGCACTATTCACACTGAGGGAATGGGCAAAGCAAGGCAATCTAAAGGTTTGTGTATGACTCCGTTATGTTGAAGGGACTTCGTAAGGTACTACTAACCCTCCCATCTCCCAGCACTCCAGTCCTCCTCCCCTCCACCCCCACCCCTTCAATAATAAATTTACCTCTCTTAATAATGAAAACATTCAACGAATTTAAATACGTCATTAAACTCGATCCTGAGGCATCTCGGTCATATTTGGTGCAGTTGTTAAATTAGAATACTAATCGTTTGATTTGCATCAGTTTTGGATGTGTTCGTTGATTAATGTTGGATTAACGAACATGCAATTAGTTATGGCGGGAATATATTTCCTGTGATTTTAGAATATACTTACACAGAATCAGATGTGGATGCCTGAGATTGCTCATTGTCCTCAATACAAGACATACTTGCATCCTACAAAATACATTGTGAATATCAAACACAAAAATAACAAATATCACTCAATTTCTTGCCAGAGAACTGGATTTTTTCTTGTTTGGCTCCCGTTTTCGTGAAGTGGGGGGGAATCCAGCGAGAGGGTATATTATGTTGTAGTTCATCCATGACCCCTAGATTGAGTTCGAGTGGACGTTTCAATGCACTTTTAGCATAACTTCAATTTAGCGATTTTCAATACTCGCAAAAATTAAATGACACAAAGATTAATTAAGTGAGTTACGCCCAAACATTGATTAGCTCGCAGTCAAGTTGTTAAATACGACACAAAGGGAGGGTGGAAATCAAATGTACTCACGTGTTCTGTGTCCTTCCGACTCATGCAGTTGTCACACATCTATCGAAAAAGTAAAAGTGCAAAATYATTTTGATTCAATGACATGACCAAAAGCAGGGAGAATCAGGACAAGCTGTTATAGTGGACGGGCTCTATGCACTGATAGTATCTATCGACGAAGCGCATAATCGTGTCACGTGAACGAATCTTGACCAATGAGAGCAAAGAAAAAMTTGTGGTTGAATTATACACCTATATAGCTGTTCCTTTTTAGACTTACCCATTTCTCTACATTCCGCCAATGTCTGCCTCCCTCTTTACAACGAATACACATCCCAAGCTGTTATGAGTAAAATTTGTAATGTTAGTTATGTCCTCGCTACTCTTATGGGTCCACTTGAGTTTTGAAMATCTTATGACATCAAGAGTGTGTTAATAAGAGGACATGCTGTTCAAAACCGTATTAATTACCGCGAGCTTTCGGACAACTTTATCATCTTTGTGCGCGAGGATACAAATGTAAGCAAAACACTATGTCACTATGGTAACATAACTGCCAGGGTGCAATAATTCAAATTACAAAAATCAGGAGCTCAATTAAAACACAAAAGTTGAGGATTGAATTATAATAGAAAAAGATAAAATGTTCTGACTAGCTAAATGTGTTAACTTTTCTTTATAAGAACTTTTCGTAAGCTTATTAATACTTACCAACGCGGGCGTACCACGACAGGTKTCTGCGGAGCAAATAAGAGATAAAGAACTCTGTTAAATAATTGTTCTGTATATGGTTTTTTATATTTTTCCTACAGCTTACTTCTATGTGTCCCTTTCACATTTAGATTACAAACGACCGCATTGCCAAAAACATTTTTGGGCCGTTTTGACATCATTTGGATAATCTACAAAGCCCGCCATGGGCATTGTATAAGTAAACTTTCTTCTGCACAAGATCTCTTTTCGGGAGAGCTTTGGCAGTTCAATGATAGTCYTTATAAAATCAAAGTCCTTTTTTCGAAGTTCACTAGACCCTTAAACGGATTCTCTACCGGGAATCCTAGTATTTGAGAAATCTTTCATTTTTTTAGGCTAGAAGAACTAGTTTTCAATTGATCAATATGCGCTTAAACCACATCACAAAATGAGGATTGTATAGAATAAGGTAAAAGCACAACAATCCTTACCTGATGTTAAATTGTGCTCTTCTTCCATGGCAATTATGCGATGCTCTTTGATCTACAAGTACTGACTCTTATGGCTATCTATATGACTTTGAATGACTGAGCAAAACTCGCGTCCTATGACCTTACTTCTTGCGACATTAGCATTTGCTCAAGTGCTTGCCAGAAAACGATTGGCTATTTGAACAAAGAAGCTTGTTAAGCTATTTTAATCATCTCGTGCATTAAGTAATGTGAGTGTGAATACTTGGCCAAATAAAAGTCAGTAGAATGAAATTTTCTTAGTTTGAATAATGATTAGGCATCACTTTTATATGAGGTGTAATGTGTTACGAAACCCATTGTTCGTAACCAAGAATAAAAATACGCCATTTACAACCTCACGTGTCTATTCATTCAAATGGCGCGAAATTTCTCTCTCTTTTACTATCTGACACAAAGACAGTATATTAGATAGTTTGGATAGATTTTTGTTCTTAATCACTCCAAAAACCGCGGTTAGACCGCGTATCTCGGTTAGAAGTCTGCAGTAAGAAGTTTGGCGTTTACACTGTGTGGCCTTGTGATATTGTCGTTCGCAATTTCAGCGAGTTCCGAAGTTAGTGAAGCCACCATGTTTGTTTTTACTCGCTGGACTGTCTTCACTTACATGAGGATATTGCATGCCTCATTCTTGGTTTACAAAACAGTCATTTTGAAAGACGAACAGATATTTAGTAGTATCTATCCAAGCCTTAAATGTGGTTTCCTTTAGAACACCACGGTGCTTCCCCGCGGGGTGTTTCACATACCGCTACATGCATTAGCTGGAACCTGAATTCAGGATCACGTGATATTTTTTGAGATTTAAGGTTGGCGCGCGGGGCACAAAGAAAAATGTCAATCTAAAACTCTGTTATGTGCAGAAACGTTGGTGAACAAAACTTATAACTCGTATAAAACGGAATTATTTCGTTTCTATACACGTGTCGACCGGAAGCGTGGCTGATATAACCGACCAAAAACCTGCGCACAAGTGTGATTCTATATCACAGACAAAAACCATACCATAAATGCTGATTGAAAAAAATATGAACATTGCTGCGTATAAGCAAACGTTTGTTATATATGATTACATCTTTGATATATTTTAATAATCCATAGCATAGCATTACAAATAAAGTGGTTGGAAAGTAAATGATTGGACAGTTTATAGTAAATTGTTGGCATCATGATTTTGCAAGATTTCAGGAGGAGACGGCGGGTTCTGTTCTTCTAAATAGCTGTTATTGTACGAATTTTTTCCTGGGAAAGAGATTTTGAGCTACATTGCTTACAATCTCACAAGCAAATGTGGCGCCCTTCCTTCTTTAAAATAATTTTGTTCCTGGCAAAAGTTTTTAAGGTCAAAAAGGCTTATATAACGTTTTTATGGTCAAAAAACCTTACAGTTCTTTTAGTTAGTTTAGGAAATTTTTATTTTCCTGGCAAAAATTATTAGAAAGTATTCCTTGTCTGGAGAGTTCTTTTTTCCTTAATTTGTCGCTGGCAACAAGTTGTGACTTACAGCTGGCTGGGGCAAAAGAACAGATATATTTCTCCCAGGAACCCGTCAGCTCCTCCTGAGATTTCAAGAGACATTTACACAGCGAGACCATATCAAAGAGCGATATCAAGCGTGTTTATCATAGAAAAGGCACGATTCATTCCTTAGTGCAGGCGGAAATAACATTAAAGCATATTATTTCAAATTATAAGAAAATTCGCGTTTCCGGTATGAATTGCAGTGCATGTTCATCCAGTGTTCATCTAACATCATTTTTAGCACGAAGCACAACATAATTTCATGCTCATATGGTTATAAGTATTGGGGACTGGAGACTAATCAAAGAAATATTGATCTATAATTCACGAAACAAACCCCACCAGTTGAAAGGACACCCAAAAATTAGTATATATACCAAGTTTCAAAACGTTTGGATAAAAACTAGCTGAACAGTATTTATTCCTAGTTTCATCAAATTAACAGAGAATGTATTGTTTTGGGGGACGCGGTCAAAATCGCCAAACATTCTCTGTAAATTGCACGGCTTCTCATTAATTGAATATTTGTCCAAATTATCTGTAACTTGGAACCTACACTAAAGTCGATAAAGTCTTTTTAGCGATATGGTTAGTTTTTCGATTGGCTCAATCAGTGACAGAAATTACAATTTATTTCATAACATAAAAATGCCGGGCTAATAGTATTATAAATTGTCAAAAATAAGTTTTTTGATCAGATCAGATCAGCTCAGCTCATGAATGATCCCTGCAAGGATGATGGAGTTGTGTGTGCATGCGTCAGTTGCTCGTTCATCAACGTCAGGTGTTTCAAATTTTGCACCAATATTTTGTACAAATGGCGCGCCTCCGCCTTTGCCACAAAATGGTTTCTTCGTCACTTATTATCTTCTCTGGACATGACTCGAGAATATATGGTTGATATTGGGTGCTTGAAGAGTTATTTGTTCTGACATACTTATTACTGAGAATGTGAATGAACTGAATATGGCAGTTTGTTCAAAATGGTATCCACTGTAACGGCCTTAATATTTTAAAGGAAGAAATCAGGTAAATTAAAGCGGTTACTGGAAAAAGAAAGAAAATTGTAATTCTATATATTGAGGGACATCCACTTCGAAAAATAAATCAAATGCGACATTAGAAGATCAGTGACCAGTTGTAGGTAAGAACAGTGAGACTTTTCCTATATACTTTGAGTAGTTCTTCTTCATAATCTACGATGTAAAATAGAGGATATTACATGGTTGCGCGGAGATACGGATTTTATCTTCGAGTGTTGAAAAGATCTCTCACGAGTGGGCGCATATTTGTCTAGCACATAGCCTTGTCACGTGACCTTCTTATTTGCTATGGCTCTCTGGGGACTGGGAACTAATGTTTGTACCCCGAACAGCAGGGACATTTGTTGGCGCTGACCGCTCGTATATCGCGGGCAACGCATGAAAGTTGACGTTTTTCATAAAAAGGCGGGAATGAAAGGCTCTTGAAAATGCCTCACTTTTTGTTCAAGATCAAAAGATATTTGAGAAAATTCTATCAAGAATAGGGAAAGAATGGGGTCTTTTGTNCACATTTAGATTACAAACAACCGCATTGCCAAAAACATTTTTGGGCCGCTTTGACATCATTTGAATAATCTACAAAGCGCTGCCATGGGCATTGTATAAGTAAACTTTCTTTTGCACAAGATCTCTTTTCGGGAGAGCTTTGGCAGTTCAAAGACAATGATGGTCTTTATAAAATCAAGGTCCTTTTTCCGAAGTTCACTAGACCCTTAAACGGATTCTCTACCGGGAATCCTAATATTTGAGAAATCTTTCATTTTTTTAGGCTAGAAGAACTAGTTTTCAATTGATCGATATGTGCTTAAACCACATCACAAAAAGAGGATTGTATAGAATAAGGTAAAARCACAAAAAACAATCCTTACCTGATGTTAAATTGTGCTCTTCTTCCATCTACAATTGTGCTCTTTGATCTACAAGTAACTCTTACTAGTGACTATCTATATGACTTTGAATGACTGAGCAAAACTCGCGTCCTATGACCTTACTTCTTGCGACATTAGCATTTGCTCAAGTGCTTGCCAGAAAACGATTGGCTATTTGAACAAAGAAGCTTGTTAAGCTATCTCGTGCATTAAGTAATGTGAGTGTGAATACTGGCCAAATAAAAGTCAGTAGAATGAAATTTTCTTAGTTTGAATAATGATTAGCCATTACTTTTATATGAGGTGTAATGTGTTACGAAACCCATTGTTTGTAACCAAGAACAAAAATACGCCATTTACAACCTCACGTGTCTATTCATTCAAATATTCAAAGCGCGCGAAATTTCTCTCTCTTTTATTATACACAAAGACAGTATATTAGATAGTTTGGCCAGATTTTGTTCTTAATCACTGCGAAAACTGCGGTTAGACGGCGTATCTCGGTTAGAAGTCTGCAGTAAGAAGTTTGGCGTTTACACTGTGTGGCCTTGTGATTGTCCATAAGGGAATATACATTGGATGGGTATTACGAAACTTCGTTTGCTTAGTCACTTATATTTACGCGCTGGCACGCGCCAATACACTCATTGTGTACATTCCGCCGTGCCGCTAATAAATC